GGAAAATTGGAAGATTTAGTGGCGCGCGCTCGAGTCACTCGACGATCAATGGGTCTACAGGTGATCCAGGTGACAGATGATCGTGACAAGGCTTTGTTATCTCTAAAGATCCTTGTTCTCGGTCACACTTTCGCCAGGCTAACCTCGGGACTTCAGGTAACCACAATGGCTAAACTATGAAAACTCCGAAAAAGTAGAAATTTTTCTGGGTCCCGCACGGCTAGTGAGGTTCAACTACCAAGTAAGTAAAAATCCCTGATGAAGTCAAAGTCGTAGCGCATCCCTCAGGAATTAATGAACGTCGAATGCTTTGCCCTCTACTTTTTTCAGTTTTTTTCTCAGTTATTTTGGCAGTGTTTCATTTCAATAATGAATCAAGGGATGGCTTCACAGCAATTCTTCATGAAGGGTAGAGAGGAAAATAGCAACATGAAGATGAACAGCACTGAAAAGCAAAAGTTTTTTAAATTAGACAAGCATTTAAGCTTAAATGACCCGTCTTTGTATGTCGTGTCAGTCCTAACACTTCGTTCACGTGTTTCATTACCACGCGACCAAATGAAATGGTCAGATTCATAAGTTTATGTTTTGCTACTGGTTTAAGGTCGTATCGCCTTCTTTCATCAAGGCAACCATCAAAGAGACGTTTCACACGCCATAACTTCTTTAAGGACGAAAACATCTACCGCAGTGTGCCTCAGTAGACATGGTTGAACAGGCGCAACCCGAAAACGACCAAGAAGAAAAAATAAGAGAGAGATCATTTATGTTTTAGGCGCACAGCAGCTGTCAAGGTTAGTTTGAACATAAATGATAAAAGATAAAGCTCTCGGCTTTGATCTCTGAGGGATGCGCCATGCATTCGACTTCATTAAGCATCGATTGGAGGTGATCGGATGCAGATCTGGCCTATAGAATAACTTGCGGTAGCCTACGGATGTATCGAGCCAGTGCTGCTATCCTCCCAGACAAGTCTGGTACCAATTTGCTAACTCCGGAGTGATGGAAGCTTCGTAGGCCATGGGCGCAAGGATCGATTCCACGTGTGTGTTGCAGTGCGCTCCGACCACTACGCCACACGCGTCCTTAGTCTAAACTTAACGGAAACAAAAAACAAATTTTTTGAACCCCTATTCTGTGTCTTCTTCTGTGCAATATTCGATGACCTGGAACTGTAGCATCGATGCCAGGGACGTTGAGCGCAGCAATAAATGTGTAGCTTACTTGTAGCTTAACTGGTTTTATGCTAAAATGTGGTTAAGTAATACAAAGTCAAAGACGCCGTCAATCCCTAAGACTAGATAACCACCAGGTTGCTGTCATTAAAACAGCAGGGGATGTAGATGAAACTTCATTTGATACACATCTTAAGAACCTACCTCTAAGAATTGAAACTTGGAACCAACGACACGTATTTAATTCTGATTATCGCCCAATCCTCGCTCGATGTAGTATTCAACTGCTCATGAGAAAACCTAGTCCCCGACGATGGATAAAAGGAGATGTAGTACCGATACAAAGTTCGGATTCCGGCCCTATCTATCCATGAAAGAACGACGTAGATTGCTTGGGTGCAAGAATCTTGTTGACAGGGTGCGGGTGCCAGTTGAACTTACCTCGCCAATGTGGAAGGAATCGATAGGAGAGAAAGAAACGATAGACGGTTACACAACAGGATTTGCATTAGCGAAGTGGGATAGCATACTGTTACGTAGAAGATTTTTCATTCTAAAAATGGAGCAAGGAGGAATTTAAGTGCACTAGTCGCCCTTGCGTTCAACACTTTTGGATCTTGAGACCGGCTTCCTTTTTCACAACGGCAAAATGTTGAGGTTCAGATGACCAAAACCATATTGCACATAGAAGTGTTTTCGCTGTAGAACCAGTATCACGCATTCTCTATTCTGGTTTTCAAATTCTTCACTGATTGGTACTGAAAAGTTGCTTAGCTGGTGGATGACATATCAATCGCAATATTAACGATCTTTTGTTGTAGTTCAATACACAAGGAACTTTATGCTTCTCGTTAAGATCCATGTTAGACTGGATTGAGTAATTAACTGCTCGTCGAACCTGTTATTATCATAGTCTACAACAATGTAACGAGCAACCAGTTACGAATATGAGAAATAGCTCTGTGAGCTAAATTTATGATGTGGATCATAAATGAAAACCACTAGAAGAGTTTTACGATTACGGTCGCGTACAGGAGAAAAGGAGTGCCGTACTTTTGAAGCTTCAGTTGGAGAAAATGAGACATTCGAAGAAGTTTTCTATCCTCCAAATTTGAAAACGCCGTAGGAAATTAACGGCGAGGTCAAAAGATATCCAATTAAACTCCTATTCATAGAAGTATAGTACTCATCGTTCCCGACTTTCTTGTTCGACACACACCAAGAACATTTTATCCGCAGCCCCTTTTCGCAAATACTGTGCGGATCCCTTCATTCTATTCGTTTCCTCGCATTCTTCATCCACGACGGTTTTTAGGTGTGCGTGTAGATTGGACAGTTGCCTGATCATTTTGGTCATCAGAACGTCATTGAGTACCGATTGAGTCTGCTCTTCCTGGAACCTCAAGATAGACGTGCTTCTGTGTTTCCTAGAACATTAATTAGTGGTTTTCTTCGTATTTTTGTTGAGCAAACGCGAGGTGTTACTATTCTTTGTTCACGATTAGGCTGACGTTTCGGCGGATTTCGCCTTCCTCAGAGCCTGGAAAGGTCAAGTTGATAGCAATCCACTCGGCCAGACGCCTCCATAACCAAACAAAGAAACTCCAAACCAAGATTTCAATCACTTTGAACACAGCTTTGCACACTCACCGCTTTCTATGAGGTCTCCACTAAGTATGTCACGTAGAGACCAACCGCACAGAAATCACGTGGAAGTATAATGTGCCCCTCACATCAGAAAAGCAGTTTTATATACTGCCCTATATCACGCGTGATAATGAGGCATTCTTCCCTGCGGTTCATTTTCGGATTTCTGGAATTAATCCAGAGTGCCTCGAGAGTTTTTCGCGCCTGTGTTCTTGATTCGCGTGCGAGGATCGTGACACATACTTCGAAGTCGTCCCCGTTATGTCTCTGGGTCCTATGCGTACCTAGCGGGGTACTTGGTCTATTTTTACCGGCTAGGTGTTCTTTCATGCGGACACAGAGGGGTCTACCCGTTTCGCCAATGTATTCGTCACCACACGTCTTACAGGAGATCAGATAAACTATACCCGAGCTCATGCAATCACCGTCTCTACCACTGGGGCAAATTATGCAATTTTGAGTTGCACATAGACGGTCATATAGGCGGTTACGAACTAGCTGGCGCTTAAGATTACTCGGTGGTATTTCAACTACGCTCACCGTATTAATTAGTGGAATTTAACTGGAGCGGTAAATAATACCATTAAGTTAGAGATCCGTTAAGAAATGCTGGCTGATCTTTTTACCCAGGGAATGGACAGTTACGAAAGAAATGGTCGATTGACTGATAGATATAGTGTAAAGCTACAAATGTGGTGCTTGCTTTGCGTATAACTGTAGCACTGCGGCCATAAGTTAAGTTGTGTGAACGACTCCAGTGGAGGCCAATAAGGAATCAATGGTCTTAGGACTGACTGTCTTTCTTAAAAAGCAAACACTTTTTAGAATTAATGATAAAGCTTTCGACGTTGACAATTTTATCCGGTATGGCCGATGCCATTGGTCTCCATTCAGCTGTGTAGAAGTGATCGAATGCATGTTTGGCCTAGAATAACTCACAGGGGCACACTGGTGTACCAGATTGGAGTTTCTGTTCCTCAGATAACTTTAGCTTTACTGCACCCACCCGGGATGAATCGAAGAATTAGCTTGCCGAATTCTTCGACCAAACCAACAACGCTGGGTGTGCTAGAAAGTATCTCGAACCATTGCGTTATCCTAATTCACTTTTAAAGTGGCCTAAAACCACTACAGGATAAGCAACGATATTATTTGTTAAAGAGCTTGAAAACATATTGTCGTTATTTTTTTAAAATCAATTTGATGAAATTTCAAAGAATTTCGAAGATTTTGAGAAAGTGAAATAAATACTAGGTGAAATGTTCGGGCAAGAGCATTCGTTGAGGTTTCTTGCACTTGGATCTCTTTCGTTTCACTTGAAATTGAAGCATTCATCGTCTGTTGAAAACGAAGTTAATATGCATTTTAAAGCTTAGTTCTATTTCGGTTTCACTACTCTTCCATTTTGCGTCCTGACTCATTCCTTTGATTCTTCAGCTAATGAATGAAATACCTTGATCACTCCACAATATCAGAACATTTTCCGCATCTTAGCAATACTCGGAAGCTAACTGTATTCGGGCACTTAAGTGATTTATTCTGATAATCAAATGGACGTAGAATGATTTTCCATCCATCTAATATGCTACTGATCATCTAAGTTTTCTTTACTCTGACTTTTGAGAAGGCTTTCTAGGATGTCACTTGAAATATTCACCAATATTTCTGAGCCCAGGGGTTCACAATGATGCGACTAGATTCGCTCCAGCCGTGTGGCGACTGGCCAAACTCCCATTCTATCCTTTCTACTGCATAAAGCTAACATCGTACGGATTTTTGGGTGTCATACTGTAACGTCGGAGTTCATCTCATAGCGAAGTAAACTCAACCGAGGTAGAGACCGTTTTTGTTTGAAAACCCAGTTAGGCGTAAATCATTGTTAGAAACAGCTAATCGTAGTAGAGCAATCATCGCAAAGAGAAAACATTACTCAAATCCTGGGTGGTTTTATCGACGATGAAGTAGCGAAATGGTAATGCTTGCAGATTTAGCATGATACCAAATTAATAAAATATCAGTTAAACAGAAACAGGCCTACATGATTTTTCGTAACGAAGGGCTGCTGATGATTTATACAGTTATTAAACCCGTTACAGACTCTTTAACAAGACGAAATATAGCTGAAATGAGTTGATTTCATGCAGTTCATAGATATATAGAAGAACCGTTGGATTTCAGGCTACGGACATCTGATACCGATCTCACCAGAAGGACAGATATTGTGCATGTTTTATGCGATTCTTGGGTTCGTTTGTTTTTTTTCTATGTGCATTCGAAGGATTGTACGTTGTATGACAAATAAACTGGAGCAACGACTGTCCCAGTTGGATCAAGAACCTCTTCTCCAACTACGTCGTTGGGACAGTAATAGAATCTTCGGCAGTCATAATAAGTCACCTGTTCATTTCTTGAATTGTGCTTGTCGTCATTAAGATTAAAATACCATTCTTAACCTTGAAAAATTAACCAGTGTAACACGAAATGCTCAACCACCCTAGCGAGACTAATTTGTACCATGAACACTTTCCTTTATTTATCGTAGCTTGGTGTGGCGTAGTATTTCAGTATGGTGTTGTTCCTATAATTCTTCCCAGTATTTCTACGTCACCTTAATAAAGTGTAGAAAAGCACTGCAGTAGTTTTTCTTTTTTTTTCTTAGCGCAGAATCGTTTCTTACAGGATTCCTCTAACCCTGATCACAATCGCAGATGTGGCCAAATTTCTGGAGGAACTTCTTGGACGCCCAGGTGACGATAATCCTCTCGTTGAGGTCAGTGTTTATAATTAGAGCGGCACGATGTCAGTCCTGTGTTTGAAATCGTACCGATTCCAGAATTGGCTTAGTGTTTCAGTAAACGTTGAAAACACTTAGGAGTAGGACGTTCACACATGCCATAGAGGATTGTTGTCTTCACCTTATGATATTCCTTTTATAGAATGTGAATTTTGTTGACAATCTCGCAATTACTGATTATCTACTGCTGTCCTTTCATTGAACAATACATAACGAAAAGAGCAGATATTGATTACTTATCGGGAGTCAGCTTTCACCGCTTTTCAATCTTTACTGTAAAGTATAAGCTGCTGATAAGAAAATTCTTAGTTGCCTTGATGCCGTTATGGTGGTTTTCGAGTGACAATGCGCGATTTTTGAGACGAGCTGATGGTGCTGTTCAGGTATCTGGCGCTCGTCGTTTCACAGTTTTATGCAGTTTACTCGGTTACATGACAGTCGCCGCATGGGTCTTCACATTCTACGAGTCAAGCTGGTCCTTTTTAGATTCATTCTACTTCTGTCTGATTTCGTTGGTGGGTTCTGAAAAGGTTTCGACAGATTTGATTGGGTAAAATCAATTTTGTTGCGAAATGATCAAGTCGCCGTCATTATTATGGCTATTATTATCATTAGTTGTTTAAATTGTTAAGCTTACATGAAGTTGTTATACGACTTTTATTCGGCTAACGTTTCGATTCGACGTCGTCGTATCTTCCTCAGTGCAGCATCTCTCGAATGAGGCACACTCAACCGGCGATGACCTTTCGTACAGGATGCTAGTTGTTGACAGTAGTGATTGTTCCGCCATAACAACTTGTTTTTCACGGACAATCCGTCCTATAGAAGTCGATATCATTGGCGGATATCACAGAGCATAATAATAATGTTTCAAAAACCCACTTTACTTTAACGTTGGTATGATTAAACCACACGTGTTCAAATTGTTGAGCTTACACGAGATCATTATGCAACCTTTAATCGGCTAACGTATCGAGATCTTTGTCTTCATCAAAGCGAATGATTCCAATCAATGGTTGGAAGGTGGTCCACTGAGGAAGAACCAACTCTATACGAAGACGAAGACGCCACATCAAGAAGACGAACGACTGTCGACCAGCGACTCGGATCATCGACTCTGCTAAATTCAACGACCATTCTACAACTCTATTAAAATTGACATCAAAAGAGGAGTTAGGCAAGGCGATACCATCTCGCCAAAATTATTTACTGCCACCCTCCAGAACGTCATGAGAACATTGAAATGGGTTAATATGGGAGTGAAAATCGATGGTCGGCAGTTACACCATCTTCTCTTTGCTGATGACATCGTCCTTATAACACCAAACATTAGCCAAGCGGAGTGTATGCTTGCAGGCTTTGATAAAGCCTGAGGAAAGATTGGTCTTCGACTAAATCTCACAAAAACGACGTTCATGAGTAACCGATTGGTTTCGCATGCCCCATTCAAGCTCAACAGAATTAATATCTCCGAATGCTCCAGTTATATCTATCCAGGTCGGGAAATTAATATGATGAACGGCCTAGCTGCAAAGTTGAGCAGACGGAAACGAGCGGCTTGCAGAGCTTTCAAGAGCATCGAGGATTTAGTGAAGAGGACAAACAGCATCCGACAATAAAGAATAATAACACCTCGCGTTTGCTCAACAAAAATACGAAGAATTACTTGATCAATGCCGAGGTTAATAGAAAGTCGGTCGTGGGAGTTACAATACAATACAACACTAGCTGACGTTTCGGCAGTATCACCTTCTTCAGAGCTTCGAAGGGTATACTGATATACAATCTACTAGGCCAAACCCCTCAATAACACTTACAAAAAGACGAAAAAACTCTATGGTAATTACATGATCAACACCTTCTCAAAAAACTCACCGCTTTCTACGTGACTTCCAATGAGGAAGTTTAGAACAGCTGATTATAGTCGCATATGGTTGATGACTGCACGATCCCACATCAGAAATTGATGCGAACATACGGGTTCAGGTCGCGTATAACCTCTGGGCATTCCTCCCTGCTATTCATTGTAGGGTTTTTGGCATTTATCCAAAAAGCCTCAAGACGTTTTCGCGCTGGTGTTTTAGTCTCCTGTATAAGGATATTGACTTTTACTTCAAAATCGTCTCCGCTATGCTTTTGTATCCTATGCGTAGGTCTGCCCGTTTCGCCAATATATTCATCTCTGCAATTATTACAACAGATCAGGTATATCGTACCTGAACTCATGCAATCACCGTCCCTGGGCTCAAACTCAATGGCAGGGCTTGGTGCCAGCCGCTGTCCCATTGCCAGCCCACTTATATGCGCGAAATATTTCCCAGACCATCCGAAAATCGAGCGATTTAGGCACTCTTTTAAGAGAGCCATGAACTGTTGAAGGGACAAGCCTTGCATATTTATTTCTCCTTCATGTTTAACTGTTCAAGAAGAAGTTCGAAGATGGCTTGCATTACGGAATCATTCGATACGTTGGTGTACATCGCGGTAACGTCGAAGGACTCCGTCACGTACGCGTTATTAGGAGATGCGTTACGCAGACGTTCTAGGAACATTTGGGTGTTTCTGAGGTTAGCTATTAGAATATCTATTAGAATTGGACCCCCCTTCCTCCTCACAAATGTTCCGTGTGGATACTGCACTTCTGGACAATATTGTCTAAGAGGATTGTGACGTCATTGATCTATGCTCTAACTAAGAATGCTCTCAATATTTAAGAACTTTCTTTAAATAGCAGAAAAAACGGATAGAATTAGAAATATTATACTTTTAAAGAATTAACGCTTTTTACAACTTTGCTTAGACTTGCCCTGCAGTGTATAAAAGGCTCTTGATCCGATTCTGCACTCTAAGATAGCCACCCCCTCCATCCTTCAGTCCTCGGATAATTGGTACCATAATTATTTGAAGAAACACAAAAACGAGTTGATCTATCGGTAGACTCCACAAGTCATTCTATAGGACAGATATGAATTCAAATCACATCTGTGACTCTGCGAATAGAGTCCAATGCATGGACTGTACTACATGGGTTTATCGATACAGATCACTTTATACTCTTGTTCGTTAGTTCAACCTTAGGTGACCTAATAGATCGCCAAATTTGTAATAAAGAGCTGCTACTACCACATTTGGTGATTCAACTCTCTGCAATTCTCGTCCGAGATACGTCTTTGTGGGAACTGCGACAGCCAGCCACTTCCAATTGTTTAGAGGATTGGCGGGAATTTTTCGCTGTTTAGGAAACCCCGCCGATATCTTTGGTGAAAAGTGCTTTTTCTTAAAACAAAAGCAGCACTAGTTTTTCGAAAGTCCTAAGATCGTCTAACAGCTCTTTTCATAGCGATAAACATTTGAAATCACTGAGTAAATTTTCACACCTTCAGGTGCAAAGTAGTGAATGAGATTTAAAGTTTTAGAATTGTCATAAGCTACTGAGCTTTTCATATTTGTAGACTAAGGTATTCATTTAAATAACAACGATTAATAAAGTGCCTTGACTATGTGCATAGAGTTCAATGCATATGTAGTCAAAAATAGATACATTTTTCAGATGTCCGAGCTAATAATGAATGATGATTATAAAAAATTAGAGCCTTCTACATGCTCTTTTTTCTACATGGACACACCTTATTTATGCTATTACTATGAAAAGCTTACGGTGGCGAACATTAGTTTCCACTCATGACTGTTTATGGGGAAGCTAAACGTTTGACCAAACGGGACAACTTCTAAGAGATATTTCTTAAGGGTCGGTGGTTTTGTTGATGATTAGGAAGAGTGATTTGAATTACAGTTTGTTAGTAGACGTGCCTCCCAGTGTATGAATTAGACTCGTAATAGATGTTTTACTAGCAATTTCGAATAACATTCTTTTCCTGTGATTGATTTTAAATGATCGCGTACGGTGAGTTCTATGCAGAGCATTCAACTTCATATGCACATCGGCAGGTGCAGAACCGTAGAATACTTATTCGTACTCGTAGCAATTATTTTCTCCCTTCTGGCCCTTTCTCCATACTTATTCCTGCTCATCCACATTCAACCTTCCCCTCATCTTTCCTCTTCTTCTCCACTAATCTGTTGCACCTTCGGCGACGTTCCGCTGGTGGCGCCGTCGTTTTATAGTATATGGGTCGATGCATAGATATACCACCTTTGTGTAAGAAATCTGGAAAATGAATAGGGAATGGAAAGGGTTGAATAGTGAACGATGGCGATTCGAAGTAACAACCATGTTTTTTCAAATAGATTCTTAAATCCAAGAAGCTGTGTTGTGTTTCATAAATTGCCGTTTCATTCATCTGTATTGCTTGTGATTCTCCCAATCAGTAAATAAATAAATGACTCAACCCGACCTCAGCACTTGTGCTTGTTTCGCACCATAGTCTAAAAGAAACACGAAGAATATCACCATGCCTTTTGTGGAATACGCTATTCTTGACAAAAAATCAACCACGTGAAGCTCGTCAGACTTCGCTCTGGCATAGGTTCATTTTCAAAACGAAATCCGAGAAATACTGTCCACATCCTTTCTCAACTTAGAAAACGCTACTGGGAGTAGTAAACGTCCGTTGTATATCGTACTGTTCGACGTTCACGAGCACCTCGCAACTTCGATGAATCGGCGACCATTGGGGAAACTCTCTATATTGTTCTTCGTATATGCCAAAGAAGAAGCTAAAATTTTCCTATGGTTTCCGTCATTTAGGGATATCTTAAAATTGAACGGCAAATGTTCTATCATCAGTATGAACACTTCCCATATCAGAAATATTACTCACACATTTGTTTATCGTTGCACTGTACTGATCCACTATACTTTGAAAATTCCCACCTATTTCAATGACAAGTGAACTTTTTTTATTGTGAATTTATCACGATAAGGCTCGATGATCCTTTGAATATCCAACCATTTTTTTCTTTACAACTATTTCTATCAGACAATCGATTGTCATTTGGAGCATTGGTACAGTAGTATAAGGTTTTCATATCATTATTCTTCAACCTCATCATGTGCCTACAATCCATTCATCAATCACTGTCGAATCGGAACGCCAAATCAAAAAGATCGAAATATCGAAGGTGGATAAGATGCGAATTGATTTTCGCAGTCGCAAGAGATTGACCTCGTATTGAAGCCGGTTTGTTGAGATGATGCGACAAACCAGCTTATTACCGGGTCAATGGTCATCTAAGCAATTTGTGACGATGATAATAGGCAATTTTAAGTGTAACATGTTAAAAAACTTCTGAACCGTTCGATATTCATGTTTTGCGTTGCAGATGACTGTCGGTTTTGGTGATCTGTATCCTCAAGGAGATATGGAGTACATGCTGTCTTCAATGGGTGAGTTTATTCGCAATGAGAAAACTATACAGGATTAACTTTACCGATAATCCTAAGTCGGTTCACTAGTAATAATTTTATAAGATTTACCCATATCATCTACACTTCTGTTCTCGCTGAGTGCTTCACTACCTTACCGTGGAGTGCGAGTGCCTTTGGGTGGCCGAACTGTTCTGTACAGCGGGGTGCGCGTTTATCAGGCAGCAGGAGTCGCCCATGCTAAAGGGTCTTCATTTCCATCTAGAAATCTAGCTAAAAATAAGCTGGTGCTAAGAATCGTTCCTTTAGTCCGAAGAAAATTTGCCACAAGATGGTAAATCACTGGTATCGGCGAATGTTTATGGAGGCAGTTCTGCATAAATTTTAGTGAATATGGGCCATTTTAGTTCATAGAATTTGGAGTCAAGGTGGCATGAAATTTAAAGAAAGCTTATTGTAGTCAATTTGGTGGATAAAAATAAATGGGTTCAACAGGCAGGACGACACTCATGTCTTACTGATCTTATCGACTTCGGCGCTGCTGCTTGAGGAAGGTTTTTTCTCGTTACAATTACTGATGGTAGTTTGTTTAACGCTTGTCGGTCGCTTGATAGTGGGATCAACATATGAATTCCCTTACACTGTGCTGCTGGTGTTCTTAAGTTTGGTTCGTTACTATCTTTGTCAGACAAGCACAAGAATTACTTACTACAAGGCACAACTACGTTTTCGGATATAAATGCACCAATGCTGAAGACGAAAAGCAAGTCTTGCGTGTTTGAACGGATTCTCGTTCGTTTCGTACCTTCCATTCAAACACACTGCATCGATCATTGGTTCGATCCCACGCCCGAGCCCTACCTCATCAATCGTTCATTACCGTCGGACTAGGCTAATTGTTGTCTGACTTGTGCGGCAGGATAGGAACACTGACTTGATACAGTGGTAAGTCACCGTAGGTCATGTACATGACATATACATCTCGAAGCATTTCTTACGATGCCCGATGAAGTCAAGTACATGGCTCCGTCTCCAGAGATTGATCAACACCGAGCACTTTATTTTTCTACCCTTTTATTCTTTTCCATGCGTTCATTGCCCATGATTGTAGCCCGATGATTCCAGTTGCGAATAAATCTGGTTGATATGGGCTACAAACACATTCGACCACGTTATAGGTAATCATCTTAGAGGATGTTTCCATCCTTTTGTAGTCCACTTTATTGCTCTTCTCGTCCATCTATCGTCCTCTTCTCATTACATGACCGGTCCATTTATGCTCCGCTTTCGGTTTCTCACAACGATTGAAGGTGATGGTAATGGAGCGATAGATGAGCTACACCTATGTGTTGGTATTTCCACAGTTGCTAGAGCTCTGAGGTAGGATAACACCACTCCTTGGTTGATGATAGCTCGTTTCGACGTTTTCAAATCCTTTTTCTCCGTAACCTCTACAGCAGCAAATAGCGATCCTTCTAGTTTACTTATCTCTCTCTAGTTGCAGTCTGATCCTGGACTGTGGGGCAAGATAAGAAAGATTATTTTCTAAATACTGGTGAAAAACAGTGAAAATAAAAACGCGAAAGTAATTTTGTTATAAGATTTGGAGTCATAAAGCTACGAAAGGTTGTATTTTAGAAGGTACCAGAAGAGTGAATTGTTTCGGAACTCTGGTAAAGTGGCCTTGATCCGATTTATCATTGTTATTCGTAGTTGGCGTAGGATTTCTTACTAACTACCTGCCTGACTTTTAAGTGACTAATAACTGTGTGATTTAAGCCGACATCGGCTAATTCACCTTTAGTCGCCACTGAGGCCATAAGTGCACAACTCCACCGATGGAAATGTGTTGAAGAGCATACATGGGTATGCTGTTTGGAGTCTACTGAAATAAATATAAGGCCTACTCATTGGAGAAGACCTCGAACTGCATTTCCCGTTACTTAACCTAGACCGTTCGCCAAATATGTGCAACTGTTGGTGTATAGAGAAACCATAAGTTAATCCAATGCAGTAAAGGCAAGGATCCTATCCTCTGGCGTTTTTGTGCACTGAAATAGTCGCCATCTCCATATTCAACGATTAGCCTGCTAAAAACATCCATCACATGGAAGATCCGTAGATTCTTATCTACACAGTGTAGATAATGTTAATAGCACACCAAAGAATTGTTGAAGTGTGACGTGGCACAATCGATCTACGCACCGCAGATTTTCCTTGTGGTCACCCACATTTCAGTTCATCTATCATTTTTACCGTAGTGCCATGGGTGGCTAGAAGTCTGTCTTTGCCTCCAACACTTCGTGTAAGATATTTCCAGTCTTGAGAATTACGAATGGTAGGCAAAAGACAATAAAACTCTGGAACGAATCTATCAGCATGGGAAGTCCAGTTTCGTCCATCGTTGTTTTTTTCTTAAGCACAGAATGGAACGATTATTTATTGGAATGAAACGAGACATGTTTACACAAACATTTTATCCCTCATTACCAGCGCCAAGCCGAATTAACGTCTTATAGCTTGATTTTGGACAAAAAAACGTTTCGTCAAAGATTTCTGACAAACTAAAACGTCACTCACAAGTAGTTAGAGACTCAACTTATACAAAGAACAGAACTCTGCCGACTACTCATAATGGACGACGCGGACCGAACTACAAATAAACCAGCTCGTCGTTCGCATTCATTCATTCATCCATTCATTTCAAACCAGGTAGCGTTCGACTCAAACGAAAACTAGCTGGATGTGACAAATCGAACGCGATTCATGCTCGTTCCCTCAAACAACGACTTTTGTATCTGTCGCAAACTTACTTAGAGGTCTACTTTGACCATCGTAAACTTTGAGAAATTGATTACAATGTTATACCTTTTTATTTTCTGCCTATTATAATTTCGCGGCAGGGTACTAAGCGAAATACAACCACAACGTTGCTGAGATATTTGCAAAACTCTGAACCGCAGGTGTCTATGGTGGAGAACGAACGCGCTATTGTTCTTTCCGGGAGTAAGCGTTCACCACCACACCATGCGGGTCCTTCGTTTCGCCTGTCTCTCAGCTATTGGCGAAACAAAGGACCCGCTTGGTGTGGTGGTGAACGCTTACTCCCGGAAAGGACAATAGCGCGTTCGTTCTCCACCATAGACACCTGCGGTCCAGAGTTTTGCAAATATCTCAGCAACGTTGTGGTTTGAGAAATTGACTTCTCTGTCACTCTAAATTCACTTGTAAATACGTCTTTCATTTTCCATCTAATTCTTTTCCGGGAAAACTGTCAAAACGTGGCACCACTTGCAATCCATTTCGCTTCAGAAGCCCTACAAGCTTTAAAAATCACTTTAGTAGAAGTGAAAATTGAATGAATGCCTTATTGAAATAAGCATGAACATTCCCACGAGATGGGTTTAAATATTACACTTTTGTTAGCGAATTATTGCATACACTGAATCGTTTGTTAACAAAACGTAGAAGGATAAAAGATAAAGCTCTCGGCGTTGATCAATCCCTGAGGGATGCGTCATGCATTCGACTTCATTAAGTATCGTTGGAGGTGATTGAATGCATATCTGGTCTCTACAATAACTCGCGGTGGCCTAACGATGTGTCGAGCCAGTGCTGCTATCCTACCAGACAAATCGTACTTACTTTCCGACCCCGGAGGGACGCGGAGGGATGGAGGGCACCATGGACCACGGGCACGGGGATCGATTCTACGTGTGTGTCGCAGTGGCGCCTCCAATCACTACGCCACAGGCGCTCTAACAAAACGTAAAACCATAAAATATCTAGGAATATTGGCTGGCAACCGACGATATTTGTGATTTATTTGTTTCTCGAGCATTCGTCGTCGTTCCCCACAACCACAGCAATGGAAGAACAACTGAAAAAGAATCCTCCTCAGAATGATGAAAAAGGAACTAGAAGAGAATTCACCCTGGAACGATTAAAGAAGAACTGGAAAAGAATCCTCCTTAGAGTGAAGAATGAGGAACTAGAAGAAAATCGTAGCAAGAGCAGTGAAAAAAGGACTAGATTCTGCCAAAAACCTTTCCATGCAGACAGCCCAACCTACATCAATCAGCTGCTTGTAGTCGTGTTATTCAGAAAATTGAGGTCAAGTTTGCGAGAATGCGCTAGGAGAAAAACTACTGTCTCAGAGACGGTCGGTCCAATGGAGGCGCGAAATTCGAAGTCTTTTTATGCACTATTAGACCGTTTTGCACTTAATCTCGGCGTGAATAATCAATGTGTAGCTTTAAATTCTTTGGCTAACCCGAGGGTTCTATACAAGAACTTGTTCGGCTAATTTATCAACATCTTCGTCTCCTTCAGAGCTGATGATCGAAGTCGGTGTTCCATAGCCATTCGTCCTCATGATGTGGGTCTTCGCAGTCGTATCGAGTCGAACTTGAGTGGAACACCGCTCGAATCAAATCTCGCCCTTTCTTTTTGCAGAAATTCATTTCCTAATGAATGCATAGCCTGGCAACCTAACAGGGACTTTGACCAGTAATGTTGGTATTTTATATTCTATTCATTGGTATTAGGGCACACCAGCTGTATAGATTAAAAATATGACAAAAATTGACAAAGAAGAAAGATCTGCACATTTTGGTGAAATCAGCAGAACTAGGGATTTCTATAGAAATTTGTTACTCATCCAATAACAAAGTGTATATTTGTATAAAAAATACTTTTTAACAAAGTTTGAATGCCTAAAATCCATGGAAGAAAATAAGAGGAAAGTAAAATATCGATATCATTACAACGGAAAACGATTTTCTAAATGCTTGGGTGCTAATTTTAAGGAAGAAAATCTTAGTACTAGCGAAAATCACCAGGAAAGGCAAGGAGGAATCCAGGATTTACCAGGCTGCTTATATTCACTAAGAACTTTCTGATTAACTAGTAATTGTTGGTTTACGGCACTCTGCGAAGTCATATTCAGCTACTGTGCTCTCAGAGTACGAATGCATAAATGACTACTCCGATTTTTCAGTGTTCATATTTATCGGTCTGGTACTGACCACGCTAGCGGTAGATGTGATGGGTTCGGCATGTATCGAACGTATTCACTCGATTGGTCGTGGATTGGACGCGATGGCGTTACTCAGAGTGTTGAGAGGTCCCATTAAGAGGTAAGAGCTTCTCCAGAGCCACTCTTTCGGATCCAATTCTTTCTTAGTTCCGTCGCTCTGCGTCTGTGACCTCGCCCTGCTTCTTTAGGTCGCCGCCCGCCCTACCGTTGTGGTTTGCTTTCGTGCCCAAGGACGCGGCGACGATCCCGTACATTGACGATGCGGATGCGTCGCGTGCTGTTACTGCTCGTGAGGTCGTCACCCCTAAGGGCACAACTTCGACAAGGTCCTGATCCTGATGCCAGTCAGAACTCGCCTCTCTTTGACGGCGTCATCGAACCATGTACAGCGTTACTTGACGTTGTCGCTCAACTTGATCCCGAAGTCGACCAACTTGTATGTAATGGCCCGGAGCCCGTACGTCAGTACCTCATTCCACAACTAGTTCGTGAAGAACTGGACATTCCACAGATACTACTCAGATATTATGATCTGAGTAAAGTTAGCCCATTCGAGTCCGCATCTGATGAGTTTGACTTGGAGGCTCGTCAGATGACGTCACGACTCGAAACGTTGAGTGAAGGTGTGTTTTTCTCTCGATTTTCCACGTTCTTCATCTTTCATCATTACTTTATGGTAATATGATATTATAGCTACTCAACCATAATCATGAGCTTATCTTTTCTTTACATCTTTTTTCACCATCCTCTTTCTCGTCATTAGAGTACTAGAGATCACTTCGTCATTTCAACGTTTTGTCTTGCATCCACTATACAGTTAAAGACTATGTTCATATTATCTAAATTACCGTTGTTGTGAGGTTGCAATCACATGAAGAAGTTTTATATCATAGCATGCTAGTCGATCGGTTCCATCTTATTCTATCTAACGTAGGACTTTTACATTGGACTGGAAAAAAGAATTATCACATCTCTTTTTTGGGTGGTAGTGGACCATCTAACAATTCTGGTAAGATGATCGATGTCGTTCTGCGTACGGAACAAATCGATCCGACCCAGTTTTCGCTGTTTCTGATTGTCGAAGTGCTGGATGATTCGCACAGGCTGCGTGGATGGTGGTGGTGGTAATGTGTGGATATGACGAAGATAACTGTGATGGTGATGGTAATGATGATGATGATGGTAGTGGTAATGATGACGACGGTGATGATAACGATGATGGCGACGGTGGTTTTCGTCAATAATTGGTAAGAGCAGTAGAACAACTTAACAATCTTAAGGTGTTCTCGAACCGTCATCGTCTCGTTGTCATTCGATGACCCGTGCACGAGTTCCGTTTGCACAACTGACTCATCGTCAGTAATGGCTGGACACGAACCGACACCGCTTCATCGGCAGTCTTCTTCCGCTTGTTGAGAAACCATCAAGTAGAACAGTTGTCTGAACTCTACAACTAACTGAAACCTTACAGAAATGTTCTCTAAGTAGCTTGTGAGAAACTATAAAAAGGAAAGCATTCTTATCCCTTCACTGTGAAATACGGTAATGTTTCTTTGGCAGTTTGATCGTCGAAGAGAAGGGAAATTGATAAAGTACGTTTAGTTCGTTTTGATTCCTTCACAACTATTTATGGTCAAATTTTTTTCTGTTTGAAAAACTGTGTTATATGCGCCCAGTGTGGTTGTTCCATCTACTCCAGTAGAGAAAACTTGTATCTGATCTGAATAAGAAACTATGCTTACCTTTGGTCCTTGCTCATTCTTAACACATTATGAATGAAACCTAGTGTAATATAGAATTTTTTCAACCTAGTGGGTTAAAACATGGGAAGAAGGAAAACTGGAAACGAATTCAGGCCGATGATGTGTTTATTATATCTTGAGTTTTTTGGTTGAAGCACCTTTGAAAACGAATCATAAGGATTTATATGAGAAACTCCGTAGCACTGTTCTAGATCTTGATTTAGTTTCTAAAATTTGACTACGGTTTTGGGAGCTCTCCTGGGTACGGTAACACCCTTCGGCTTGCGTAGCAAGTGAGCATAATTTTTGTTTGTTAACGAATAATTCAGATTTTGTCACTAGAAAACTGTTTAAAAATTGTAACACTACTTTATAGAGTACTTTCCTTATGTAGGAAGCTCATGTAATGCAGTGGTTAGATGTACTCTCCAAGACATGTAGCCATCGGTTCTCTCCCGCGTCTCGGGTGAAGCAAACCCTCCATTCGTTTGGGTTCTATAAATTGGCAAGAGACTGGTCTGGGCGAATAGAAAACGGACTTAATACACTTAATACACTGGTAGGTCACCGAAAGTTACTGTCTAGTTCAAACGCGCTCCCAATCGTTCTACGACTTTACAAATTGAGTTTAATGCATGGCACATTCCTCGAGGATTGATCAATGCCGAATGCGATCAACCGTGGTCAGTATCATCGATTCTCGCAGCTGTTTCTCGCCTAAAAACAAGGTACGGTAGAGATAATAAAAAGTTTGCACTATAAGAGACAACCTTTGACGTGTTTCCTAGACCAGTAAAATATCTGTAAGAAGTATACAGTAATAGAGCAGCTGCAGTCAGAACGTCATAGCTGGGTCTTTTACTTCATATCAAACGATAAAAAAGTGGCTCTAACTGCTTTTTTCTGTTTATACGACAATGGACTCGAATTACTTGCCATGAAGTAAATGCCATGCCTGTTCGTTACTAACTTTCAGAAAGTTTACTTTTTTTAAAAGCAGCAACTTTTGTGGTGACGCCAAGCAAGCTTATCTTCTTGAAATTCAAATGAATAGAAGTTATGAAAATTCTCTGTCAGTTTGCAAATTCCGGACCGCAGATGTCTGCGGTGGAGAACGAACGCGCTATTACTCTCTACGGGAGTTAATGCGCTCACCACCACATCATGCAGGTCTTTCGCTTCACCTGCTTCTCAGCTAGTTCTATCGATCAGTGGCATCAGCAGTTCTCTGTCGATCAGAAATCTTTAATTTTTCAAGACAATCACATTGATTCATTTTTTTCTGGAGACCTGTTAGTGATATGTAGACGCCAAAGGTTAGAGTTATCTGTGTCTATTCGTCAATTACCAACCCATTTATGAAATGATTTGCTGATTTAGATTCAGTTCTCGGCCAAACATCCCAATTCTTTCTCCGCTACTACGCTCTACCATCGAATTGTCAATGTGTAGAGTCGTGGTAGTAGTGGTGGTGATCGCCGATCGGCAATGGACTGGCTAGTCGTGACCCCACCAACTAGCGTCGCCTTTCATAAGGTTGAAAGGAGTGGCGGAGGTCTCGTTACGACCTTCATACTCTTAGAGACTTATTATTAGGACCGATACCTGATGTTTCACACTACGAGAAATATGTAGATGAACAACACAGAAGTGACGTGATAATACGTCTGGAGTCCAAAAGATGAGAGATGGTGTTCAAGCACACCTGCGCCTCAAACCGTGACATCTACTTAATCTCATTTTCATTTTTCATTTTCCTCAAGTGCGAAGGAGGGAGAGGGAAAGAAGAATTGACAAGATAATACATGGGAGAGAACCAGAGAGAAGAATTAGTAAGATCTCTCGTCATTGCTTTACTCAATTGATGATCTCACTTTAATCGCTTTTATAGTTTCTGTGAATTTTTTCAAACATTTCACCCCTTTATGAAAAGAGAAGACAGCTCTCCCTGCTAGATAGGATGTTATGCTAGCCTGTTTCACAATCTCTTCTATTACTGCAAATTGTGGAGCAAACATGAAAGCGCGTATGGTCGGATGCGACCTGCAACACACGCGTGGAATCGATCCTTGCGTGCACGGCCCACCAAGCCCTTCATCCTTCCGGGGTCGGCAAATTGGCAGCAGACTTGTCTGGGGGGGGATAGTAGAACTGGCTCGATACATCGATGAGTCACCACGAGCCAATGTAAGGCCGGATATACATTCGATCACCTTCAAACGATGCTTAATGAAGTCGAATGTATGGCTCATCCCTCATGGCCGAGAGCTTTATCCTTTTTACTGTAATGTATTCCTTGTATTGAAAGAAAATCACTCTTTCTAAGAGGTTCCGTGGAAGAAAATTCAATCTGCTCCGATCAATACAAAGGCAAGAAATTTACCAAAAATTGTCATTTTTTCAAAAGTATAGCTATGCGCTACCATTATAGTAAAGCGGTTGACATTGCATAGCTCTCAGTTTGTATTAATCGAGTTCTTCTAAGGCCTTTTTGTAACATGAAAGCTGATCGTAAACGATTTGTTGAACGACCGTCACCTACGTCAACGAAAATTGGGAAAGAAAGTGTACTCTACATTGGTTCATCATGAATGACATAAATATTTCTGTCAGAACTAGTACACATGAATGTAACGGAACTCTTTACAATGAGCACTCGTGTATTATCTAAAGAGTGAAACAGCTCATCATCGTCATAGCCGTTGAAAATCTTTTAAAAGACGACTATGAAGTCGTAAGTCTTTAAATTCTACTCGGCGAGAGAACCGAAAACCGAACACGTCTTTCCCGCTATATGTCGATATGGTACGGGTTCATGCTGAGGACGAGTTTTACCTCTATAGGAACGATGATAACTCGTCTACTTCGCAACGTGGCCGAGTTTTATGCTATGACACAAGAAAAAACAATATTATCGTCTTGTACGGCTGCAGACGAGTTCTGTTTCTATACGAACGATGACAACTCGTCCAACTCATAACGGGGCTGAGTGAGATGTTAGTCATTGTAATGAGAGAAGAAAAAACCCAGCATTGTCGCTTTGCACGAACGAGAACATCCGTAACAACCCGGCGAAGTAATGCCGCTATTGCTGGAATTGCTCGCGTCCCGAATCGTATCGTACGAATACACAGAAACGAAATGAGGAAGAAGAACATCTGACAATCAATGAGAGGACGAGTTTCAGATCTCGTTGAATGGATTTATACTGATGCCCATTTTTATTGCTCTATTAGTACATAATGATAGAAATTCCAGTCTTCACTAAAGAATTCTGTGCAAGAACCTTCTAACAACTACTTTTGCTATTACCGTTATAGCCATTACGATCGCTGTTATTATTACTACCGTCCGATTTTCATTTCTATTCTTAACACTTCTTCACAAAGAACTAACAATGTTATAGTGAGCTGGCGATTAATCATTAAAAAGTAAAGCTTAGTATAAAATATTATTAAATTAGACGCGTGTGGCGCAGTGATGGGAGGCGCCCTGCAACATACACGTGGAAACGGTTCCTGCACCCGTGGCTCACCAAGCGTTCCATCTCTCCAGAGTCGGCAAAGTGGTACCAGACTTGTCTGGGAGGATAGCAGCACTGGCTTGACACACCGGTAGGCCACTGCGAGTCACTTTAAATATCAGATATGCATTCAATCGCCTCCAAACAATGTTTAATGAAGTCGAATGCGTGGCCCAGCCCTAATGGTTTGGTCAATGCCGAGACCTTTATCCTTTATTCACTAAATTAAGTTCTTTTCTTTATATTTCCTAGATTTACTAGATCCAGCTATTATTTAATACGCATCAAAAGCTAATAACTCGAAAGTCCACAGCACCCTTTATTAGTAGTACTTCTGAAGTTATGTTCATACCATCTGAAGTGCTTCCTAAGCAGAGAATATGGCAGGACTTATCAGTGATAACTTATGTTTATCAATATAATGAAGTATTCCAATAATGAATTTGTTTTGTGGTTTGGAGCTGGTTACTACTACCGTTTTTCCTCCTTTGAGAATTCAAGAAACATGTCCTAGGATGGTCCAGGTGGTCACTCCCCACAAGATGCTACGTTATCATCGCAACTACGTATCTTCTAGGAATGTAGGAATTGCTTAGATTGATGTACCCCTGGCCGAGTTAGGCAAGGTGAAACTCCTTCAATTAGGATGGTGCTGCTGACAGAGTGATGAGACCCTTCATGGAGATTGCGATTCGAGCCCAGGGAACACTTTCCAGTCTTGATGAGAATATATTTCTTTCAACACTAAAATAACTGTTTGCAAAGCAATCGACGTACTTTCGATTTGCAGAAATTTCTTCTGCGTTGTTGCATTGTCCTTGCATTTGTTTTCGTTCGGCGTTCTATAAATGGTCCGTTCGTGAACATGTCAACAATTTTTTTCTACCGTGAGCAACTCGTCCTGAGTAACCTCGTGGTTGGTTTCAAAATGACCCCGCCCACATTTAAAGTACACTACTATCCACGGCGGTGACGATCTTATGCAGACGACGATTTCGAGGAGAGGAAAATTGGATATGAAGCAAGTTTGACGAGGAAAAAAGAAAACGACGAGATCATTTGTGAATAAGAATCTCGTCGTGAGAATCGC